CTTGTATCATGTCTGGATTGACTTCTGCATCTTGCTGAGTAAGGTTGTAAGCGTTGCCTTGAATAGGAGGTCTGGCCTGGTGCTGATTTCTCGGGAACTCTCTCGCGTAATGCTTTGCACTTTCACATATACAACAAGTATTGTTGAGGCGATAACAGGGTCAGTCACCATGATCCTTGTCGTAGTGCTGGCAAGGTCTATCACGTCCTATTGTCAGAATCTGAGGAGAAGCCTGAGTCATTGGCTTAGATCTCTTGTTTTGTTGAATATGTGCAATTGGTGCTGGTCTGCGGTTTGAAACCGATGGTCTGAGGTTCCTTACTGTTGAAGAAAAAATACGAAAGTTTTTCTCCACTAACTGTGTTTTGGCCAAAACGGCCGAGTAAGTACTGAGCTCGAACACATACAACTGCTGTCTAATATGAGGACAAAGGCCCCACTCGAACTTTCTTGCCTTTCTGCCTTCATCCATCATGCTCTCAGGAGAATACTGGTCCAACTTTAGGAACTTTCAGACATATTCTGATACAGTCATATCACCTTGAACTAGGTGTGCAAACTCCGTTTCCTTCAGATGTTGGAGATGCTCTAAGAGGTAGTTTACATTGAAGGTTATCAAGAACTGTTCTCAAGTGACTGGAATGGGCAGAGTGCTCTACTTGAGTTGCCACTAGCGACCTGCCTCTCCCACCAACATGTAGGTGGCAAGTATGACTTTCTGTTCGGGAATTACCTCAAGAGTCATGAAGACTTTCTCTGTCTCAGTTAACTAGTACTCAGCTTCTTCAAAGAAGGATGCCCTTGTAAAAGTAGATGAGTTTAGTCTTTTATACCTCTTAATATAGTATGGGTCCATCATGAGAGGAACTGGGTCCCATAGAAGAGGGACTGAATTATGTTGGAGATGGACCGGATAGCCATGTGGTGGTAGTGGATGATACGATGGTGGCATCGGTTTGTACTATGGTGGTACCAGGTAATGCGGTTGGGACACTAGGCTATACTGTAGTGGTGCCGGGTGATGCAGTTGGGGCATCAGACCATACTGTGGTGGTACCGGATGATACTATAGAGGAGCAGGGTCAAACCAGGGTGACTTAGGATCATCCTACTGTAGGGGTGGCTCAACCTGATGCAGCGGGGGAGGGTCAGGTAGCTTTCTCCTTTCCTCCCGAGCCTGCTGGACAGTGATGAGTCTCTCCAGTATTTCAAATTATTGGTCAACATCCTCTCAAAGCGAACCCTTCCAGGCTGCTCAATTTAGTGGGAGTTTTCCTCTCATCATCTATCTGTACCTACATTTCATAAGCAATGGTTGAGTGATAATTCATTTTTTTTTTGTATTTTCTAAGGTTTTTGTGTAAGGAATGGTTCCGAGAAATGCGACTCTGATACCAACAATAACACTCCGAAATTTGAAAAGGAGATAAAGACGTGAATTAAATGTGGAAGTGAAATAATAGAATTAGAGTTTATATTCATTATACAATAATTTAGAATACCCAATAGGGATCAAGAATGACCATTCTAAAAGAACAAGCGAAAAATCAAGAAATAAATGAAAAGTAAACAATTAGGTATCCTAGGAAGACCTTCACTAGTTTTTGAAGGGAGTTCCGGTAGTGAACTATTCGCAACCCCCTTATTGATCGAGATCTGGATCTTGGTCCTCTTTATCTGAAATGGTTAATGAATGAGTGACCTACACTAAGTTAGTAAAAATATCACACTACTTACCGATACAGAAATAAAAGTTGGTAAAAATCATAAAAACAACTAATGGAGCTCTTAAATTAAGTAAATTAATTTATCATAAATAAAATTATTTATTACGTACTTACCATAGCGAGATTTTTAAACCCGATTTATAGAGTCAATAACACAAATAACATAATTATCTCATATTCGATTAACCAGAACAACATATTTTCCTTTTTTATTTACTTACTGGTATCCCTGAGGGTTCATAAGGATGTCCCACCACGCGTGAACTCATAATAAAACTTATTAACTAACCGGCTGTCCTATATCCCGTCCGATATGAGCGCTAAAAGTACCATTCCTCAATACCACGTCTGGTATGATGGTGAATCGGACTGTCCCCATACCCCGTTCGGTATGAGCGCCAAAAATACAATTTATCGGCACCTCGTTCGGAGGTAACGTTCACAGTAGGGTTCTCTATGTACCTGGTCCATCCACTATCTCCTAGAATATCCATTAAGACAACCATTTTATTAATTTACGTAACCAAACAATTTTTCGTTTACATTTAATTTTCACTTTCACAATTTAACTGTAAATCACGCAAGACAAGCAATTCATGCATCAAGGAAATACATTTAAAATTGTAAAATCAAACAATCAGTTAAAATAGGACAAATAGTAATAAATAATCAGTTCCGACTCCATTAGTAACTTATAATTAATTATCGAAATTTTTTAAAGTACTATTTATAATTAGACTTCAATTCCATAACAAGGAATAAGGTGATAGATTTTTACCCGAATTGGTTTTCGAAATACCAAACTTTCAGCTGCACCTACTGGCGGTCTATAGGTTTTTTAAATTTTCTGCGGAGGTAAAAACATACTTTACATACCTTAAAATACCCCAAAAAATCCAAAATCGATGTTAAAAATCTTTTCTAACTAATTTTGAAATTCTAGCATGGTGGCATCGTCGTGCTCTGGCGACGACACCGCTGCCCACGGCGGTAATTTTCCTCATACTGGCCGTTTTCCGCTAGTTTTGGCCAGTTTCGGTCAGTTTTATACCCATCTCTAAGAGAAAACACGTTAAGGGGTCTCAGTTGATCGAAAAAGTTGAAAAACAAAAACTTACCGGCAGTGAAATTTTTTGGTGCAACGGCTCCACCAGCTCACCTTCGCGGCTGGGCCTTTTTCTTCGGTTAACTTGTAGAAAATAGAATGATGAACACAATAGTGAAAAAATTGTACGAAACAGGAAAAGAAAATGAACTCATCGGATGCGATTTTTGATTTTTCCTGCGGTAGCGCCACTGGGCTTTACCTACAGTTTTCGACTCATCCGCCGCTCTTTTTGCTCCGATTTTACCATGAGGGTGTTCAAAATTAAATTCCAAGTGAATAGAGAATTTTTGCTTTTTTTGGCTGTCAGAGGTGGCTTCGGTGTAGCGGGCGGGCGGCGGTCGGCTCTCTTCTCCGGCGACTGGTTCTTCTTCTTCGGTGGAGGGCCAGCGGCTAGGTTTCGGTGTGAAATGAGATATTTATATCTGTCTCCCTTAAATCTGGACCGTTCTATCGTATTTAAAGAAAAAATGAATATGAACCGCTAATCGCGAGTTGATCTTGACCGTACGATCGCGTTTAAAGAGGAAACAAATTTGGATCGTTCATTACGTTTAATCACGACCGTCCGATCGCGCCGGAGGAGGGAACGGATTTAGATCGTCCACGCACGTGGGAATGCATCCGGACCGTCCGATCGCGAGAACGCGGATTACCAGCGTGGCCTCGCGCGTGGTACTGAGTCAGCATGTCTTACCACCAGTGTATTCCGGTTCATCGAGACTGCTGACTGTGCAGTTCTACGTATCCCCCAATTTTTGAATTTTTTTAAAAAACACCGCGCGAAACCAAATTTTCACATGTTTTTATCAAAATTATTTTCAATTTCGTCATTGACCTATTTTTTTCCTCTAATTTTACATTAAATAAAAATTGATAAACTTAAAAATTATATATATATTTTTTTAATTTTAAAATTAATTCCGACATAAATTTTGAGTCCGGATATTACAATTTTTATTAAAAAGATAAAAATATATTTATTTATCACAAATAATTTACTATTTACATTGTTTTATGTATATATATATATATATATAGTTAATCTTAAGAAGATATCAAAAGATTAATTAAGTTATTAGATAGATAAAAAAATAAGAACTCAAACGTTAGGATTATGGTGTTTATTTTTTACATTCATTATAAACATATATATATATTTTTTTGTTTAAAAGAGAAAAAAAAAAAAGAAAATAAATATACTTCCATCACCATGACACCACAGATTACCCCAAGAACAGTGCAAGTTTGGCCTTCACATCTTAAATGCTATTTACTCCTGTAACCTACCCTTAATTCAAAGGTCAAACTACCCTAAAATTTGAAACGACATTAAATAAATATTGATATGGATAAGCGAATCTTCCCATGTCAGTCCTACTCATCTTTGGCCCTACCAAATTGCTTGCTATTTTATGGATATGAAGCTCCACCCTACTCAATCATCTCTCTTCCTTTCCTCAAAGCTGGAATCACTACAAACCAAACACCATATTATATCTATACATATACATATAAGGCATCTAAATCAACGACAGTAATGCATCATTCATCAACTTGACTCATTTATTAACCAAATTCCCCATTGTTCATGGTCTTATGAGTCCAGCACAGCAGCCAACCACATGGTTTTCTTTTAAAAAAAATTAGTATGGACCATGTAAATATTTGTTCTCAAATAATATTTAACAATTTTAATACAATATTTAAACTATATAATTTTGAACTGTGAAGCTAAGTGCTCTTAGGGAAAATACCCTTTTAACTGCCTGTTAAAAAATTAGGTGAAGAATTAATTATTAAAAGTTAAACAGCTTATTGACCAGTAGTTTTACTACATCAATGGATGGGTTTGTTAAGGATTTGATGTTTAAACAGATCTAAGAATGATTTATGCCCACCAAAAATACACAGTTCATATGGGGCCCATTCGAAAATTAATAATTAGAAAATGATCAGTACGATAATGAATCTATATTAAAAAATAAATAAATCTGGGGATGGTGGGAAGTAAATCCAAACAATTTATAATAATGATAATAATAATTATTATTAAATGAACTGTCATTAGTGTGCTAATACTACTAAATTATTGAAAATATTATGCTTACTCATAAAAATGGAAAATTATTGGTTTCTGACTTACCTGCAAAATAAGGGAGTATGACCATTACTACGAGGCTGCCATTATGGGTGAAGAGAGGAATTCAACAAATTATTCTACTGCTTACTAGTTGAAATGGTGACAGAATTGTTATGGGTGTTTCTTGATTTTTTATGCTTGCTAACTGTTAATCACAACTCTCAAGGACTCTGCATTTTCAGGCCTCCCATTGCTCCTTCTTCCACCTTTTTACATGATTAATTAATTTCTTTCATACCCAATAAATAATTAAGATTCTACTATTCAAGACAAGATATTATAAAGAATCAATAAAGATGAGGAAGGAGATCAAAACCCAGTTCAGTTCCTTTTAGAAACACCATACGTACACTTTCCTAGCTGCTAACTGTAAACTCCTCAAGGACAGAAATTCCATTAATGTTGGAGAGAGCAGCATGTGGGAGCATTAAGTCCAGGTACCCCACCTTTCAGATTTTTAGCTTCAAACACAGCACTCAGCTTTTTTATGTTATGCTTAATACTCTTGCTGTTCTTTTTTTGCTCATCTGCCTCCTCAACAATCCAATGAAAACAGCTTCTTATGGGATTTCATCACTCTTATGACTGCATTCCCCCTGCATGTTCTTCGTTTCCGCTTGATGGTGCTTTGCACCTTGCTTCAAAACCAAACACTCTGGCAAGTTCCGACTTCCAGATTTTGAATCCAAGGCTTTGCACATCTTCTTCATAGAAAATAACAAGAACCCAGATCTTAGTTTATTCTGGTTTTGATTTAATCAGACAAGCAGACACCATTTTACTTTCTCAGTAAAAATGAAAAGGGAGAAGTTGATGATGGGGACTTTTGGCTTGGTTTTGTTATTGTGTCTTACATGGAATATGTTCCTGTTGGGTACCTGCCAACTCCAATCCTCTCAAGCACAAGTTCTTCTTCAGCTTAAAAAGCATTTAGAATACCCAAAGCAGCTAGAGATGTGGTATGATCGTCGGACAGATTTTTGTTCTTTGGCTTCGTCGCCACACCTAAACATCACATGTAATTTCAGCTCTGTGACAGGACTCAGAATCATGGGTGATAAACATGTGAAGCTGAGTGAACTTGATGGTTTTTCACTTTCAAACCAGACACTATCAGAGAGATTCTCCATGGATTCCTTTGTCACTACTCTATCAAGACTGACAGGGCTAAGAGCTCTTAGTTTGGTGTCTTTGGGCATATGGGGTCCCCTTCCTGATAAGATTCATAGGTTATCTTCACTTGAGTATCTGGATTTGAGTTCTAATTTTCTCTTTGGTTCCATTCCTCCGAAGATTTCCACAATGGTGAGACTTCAGACTGTTATATTTGATGACAATTTCTTGAATGACACGGTTCCTGGCTGGGTCAATTCCTTATCCAATCTGACAGTTCTTAGTTTGAGGAACAATAGGTTGAATGGCCGGTTGCCTGATCTTAGTAGCTTAAGTAAGCTTCGAGTGTTGGATTTGAGCAGCAACAATTTAGATTCTAAGTTACCCACATTGCCTAAAGGGCTACTCATGGCTTTCCTTAGTAACAACTCCTTCTCAGGAGAGATTGATCAGAAGCAATATAGCTGGCTAAGTAAGGTTCAACACATAGATATTTCCTCCAATCGACTCAGTGGAACACCTCCTGCAGCACTTTTCTCACTGCCAAATATTAGCTATTTGAATTTGGCATCAAATATGTTGAGTGGTTCACTTCCAAGTGATCTACAGTGTGGCAGCAAACTTGAATTTGTCGACATATCAAACAATAGGTTCACAGGAGAAGTGCCTTCTTGTTGAGCAGTGACCTGGAAGACAGTGTTTAAGCTTGGTGGAACTGTCTATCCATGACATACATCATCAGCATGCAGAATCATATGCATAGACACGGACACAAAGGGGATACATCAGGGGGAAGAAACATTGGGGTTTTAGTGGGTTTGGTTGTAGCAATCTTTGCTGTTGGGGTGCTTTTGGCTTTTGGCTTCCTCGTTGTGTTTAGAAGTTATTGCGCACGAGGGATATCAGAGCAGCATTTGCTGCATAAATCAGTGCAAGATAATTTAGCAGCAGGGTTCTCTTCTGAACTCCTAACAAATGCAAAGTATGTTATCCAATAACGTATTCTTGTTTCCTCATATTGGCAAACTGCGAATATTTTTAAGTTTTTAAGTTGCATTTACTCCAACTCGGTTCTATTCTCATTTAATTCCTAAAGATTAATTACTTAATATATAGAATTTAGTTGTAATTTACATATAAGGTAAATATATTTTTCACTGCAGGGTTTATCTCCGAAGCAGCAAAGATGGGTACAGAAGGTATCCCAGCATGTAGGCAGTTTACTTTAGAAGAGTTAATGGAAGCCACAAACAGTTTTCATAACTCTACCATTATTGGTGAAGGATCATATGGAAAGGTATCATAAGAAACTGTGACCTTTAGGCACAGTTTAAAACATATTTAGTTTCTAGCGTAGTAGTGAATCCATTCATTCTCACCCAGTCTCTTCTTTGCTTTTTCAGCTTTACAAAGGAAGATTGGAGAATGGGACACAAGTTGCTATAAGGTGTCTACCCTCGTCAAAGAAATTTACGATTCGAAATCTGAAACTCAGGTTGGATTTGCTTGCAAGGCTTCGCCATCCGCATTTGGTTTACCTTCTGGGACACTGCATGGATAATGGCGGACGGGATGATTACAATGTGAACAAAGTTTTTCTTGTATACGAATACATGCCAAATGGAAATTTCAGCACTCATCTTTCTGGTAATTTGGAACAAATTAATAAGCAATTATTTTCAAAACTGTGGCTTCTTTATTTTGCCAAATGGAAATTTCACCACTCAGCATATACTTTCTAATATGGTTCAGTCATTCTTTAAGCTTCTGACTTATAAAAGCAACAGCTCTATGCAACATTATTGTATGAAGAACCATAAAGTTGAGAATTCTAAGCACAGAAGGGTAATTTGTGCAGAAACTAACCCAGGAAAGATTCTTAGTTGGCCAGAAAGATTGGCAGTCTTACTGGGTGTTGCTAAGGCTGTGCACTTCTTGCATACTGGAGTTATTCCTGGTTTCTTCAATAACAAATTGAAGACACATAACATCTTGCTCAATCAGCATCAACTGGCAAAGTTAAGTGATTACGGGCTTGCAATAATTTCAGAAGATAATAACCATCATGAGGTAAAGTTTGTTCTTTAAGTATCATTTATTTTTAAATCACAGCATTCAGCAGAGTTCAAGGAACTTACAAATGATTTTTTGTTCTTGGTTTGTAGGCAAAAGGAGACCACCTCAATTCCTGGTAAGGAGTATTCTTCTGGTAAAATTGTTTCCTGTAACATTGTATAGATTTTAAAGGTCTAAAGAAATTGTGGCTGACAATCAGTTAAGAAAAGGATTTTACTGCTTAAAAAATACAACATAAGCTTGTGTCTAACAATTGAAATGGCATGTTTTCAGGCAAATGACCAAGTTAGAAGATGATATTTTCAGTTTTGGATTTATATTACTCGAGTCTCTGGTTGGACCTTTAGTCTCTGCAAAGAGAGAGATGTTTCTGCGGGATGAATTGGTAATTCTCAAAATTCTGGATCAAAGCAGATTAAACTTAGTTTCTAGTTATCATAACTTATCATTTGCTTCTAGTTTCCACATTTTGAAGGTTGGATGAGGTAATATATTAGAGGTTATGAAACAAGATATTGCATTTTACAGGCATCCTTCGACAGCCAGGAAGGTCGAATAAAAGTTGTGAATCCAACTGTTCTGGCAACTTGCTCACAAGAATCTCTGTCAATTGTGATATCCGTAATGAAGAAATGCATTGTACCTGAGTCGAGTCGTCCTTCCTTTGAAGACATTTTATGGAACTTACAGTATGCTGCTCAGATCCAGGCAACAGCAGATGGTGACCAAAGATTCAACAATGCCTCATAATGATAGAGTTCTACATCTTCAAAGAATCACCTAAATCATCTACTCCCTTTCCTTCTTTCTTCCTTCGTAGTGAGGAAAGTAGATAGCCTAGCAGCAACTGTGAGAGTTCTTGTCAACAAATGGACAGTTACAAATTAGTATCATCATTTCCATTAAGAACTCATTGTATATATAGGCTCTTGTTTTGCATCAACTGCAAATTAGACAACCAATTAATGGGAAAGAAAGATTTTCTATGCCTTTTGAGCATCCTGAAAAAGTAAAAACACGTTGACAAAAACTAGGAGCTAACAGATAAGATTCTCTCCTGTTTCTTCATGTTTTTAGAAGTGACATGGTTCCTCGATATTCTAATACAGATTACCCAAAATAGTTTCTTGTAGTTTTTCTGCGATTCTCAGAATCTCTAATCAATCCTACTTCATGTCTGCAAGCAGAAAGAGAAATCTTTTCTCTATGCATTTTAACCATGTTTCCATTACACTTTTAAAACAGGGAAATAGGGGAACTCTGTCAAACTGACAATTCAATTCTCAACACATTATTTACAGCAATTTACAGGTCTATGGTACTTGTATATACAGCAATCAATTCATGAATACACCTTCCAGAATAGGAAGTTCATGGTAAACTAGATCCCGGGGTCAAGTTTGTGAATCACAGGCAGCATCTACATATCGTAATCGTAATGCGGTCAAGAGGCCTTGCCATGTTTCCTTAGGTGCACTGCTAACTTGAAAGTCAATAAGTTTTCTTTGTTTCCTGTAATACTCTTCAACTGCCTTACTCTGACACAAGAAAAAGGGAAGTGATTTGAATAAATTAGCCATCAAAAGCATTCTTTAATATAAAAATCATATAAACAGGAACAGTTACATCTACAATCCATTGGTAAGAATCAAAACTAAAATTTACACACATCATCAAGCAAAGTTTACATGAAATTATTTGTCCTGGTAAAATTCTCACACTCCAAGAGACTCAAAATATCACAGTATGGAAGGATAAAAAGTTTTGAGCTGTGTGCTTAAGGACAAAAGGCTGAATAATGCCAAATTAGTTTTTTCAACAGGAACATCGCGTTTTGCCATAGAGGTGTTGGGTCTGTGCTTAAAAACAGAGGTAATATTTAATAATTCAGAAAAAACATGGGGGATGCCGAATAAAGGTGTTAATCTTCAAATCTACAGTCCCAAGTCCTTAGCAGGGCAAACTTAAACTTAAGTATCTTTAGCTTCATGCTGATGAATTTTTCTCCTCCTTTTCATCACGTATTTGGAGGAAAAAAATTTAGAACAGTTACTTCAAGCATCGAATTCTTAGGAAGACATCCTAGGATTTAAAATATATTATAAAAAATAGGAAAGGATCAACGAAAAAAAGAACTGGTAAAATGTCTTACCCATTCAGCAGAAACAGAGTGATCCTTCAGATTCCAAGTTTATGTTGGAATTCACATTGATGCAAATAGACAAAATGATGTGAAAGACAATTCATAAACGAAAGCAAAGGTACTTTAGCATGCTGTATAAATGATTAAGCTGCTACTAGAATGGGATTAATAATTGTTAACGTTCACTTATTCCATAAGTAAAAAACCTCATGACCCACCCTAGTCTGACAGTTAGGATGTCACTTTTAAGGAAGAAGAGAGGTATTCAAGAACAATATCAGGCTAAACCGATAAAATATAAAAAATAACTTAACAAAAGAGGGGGAGAACTTGGAAAGATTAATACCTGTTTAGAATAGGCTTGAAGCTTTTCCTTCCAGAAATTTTCTGCAACAGCAGTTGAGAAATTTTGTTTTGGAGATGCTATGCAGGCATATCAGAAGTCATACAATAGGTGAGGCATATCTATCTAGATTATGCCAAAAGGGAAAGAACAATACCTCCATAGTTTTTCATCAAAAAGTCTTCTGTGCATTTAAAATTCACAACCAGATCAATGTCAGCAAACTGGTCAAGAATTTCCTATAGCAGATGAATAGGGGGAAAAGGCAAAAACAAAGAAGATATTTTAGTAAGAGCATCTCTTTCCCGATAGGATTGTATATCTGATCTCCTAAAACTTAAAAACCTGGAGATTACTGCATAAGAAAAAAAAACTGAACTTAGAAACAGAAAACTTACAGCTTGGATCTGTGTACGAGGAATTCCATCCAGAATAAACCCAGACTCGCCTCTGTAGTACCCATCTTTTAACCTTTCTGACAACAATGCAAAAATTATATGCTCTGGTACAAGTTCTCCATGATTTAGCGCGTTGGCTATCTATACATATTGAAGCCAAACGTGCATAAATAAGGAAAGGAGGAGTTAAACTAGGTCTGTCAGACAAGAAAAATAAGAAGTGGAGATAAAAATGAAGCTATTAATATATGATAAACTAGCCTATAAAAAATCTCCGTTATAACATATTTGGGGGGAAAATTCAGTATGCTTAAGAGAATGGATTGATGTTTCTGAAATTAGGAGCTCGTAATCTGCTAATAGGATGATGCATTGGCGTTCTAATTGAGTCCACTTCCAGAATATATCATAATAATGTGCTACGTGAGTCCATGGCATTCCATGAATGACCTAATAACCGCTGAATCCCTTCGAATCTAAAAGAAAATACACTCTGAATGATCTCAATCCTCGACAAGCAAATAGGAGAAAAGAACAACACAGACTAGCTAATCACTGTAAGACAAATTCAAGAAACAATTCTTCACCAAAATAACCAAAGAACATGGACAATAGTTCGAAGAAGATAATACCTGTTTATAAACAGAAGAACGGGGACTAAGTTCTTGACGTACAAGACTTGCCATAGAAATGTGAGGAACCTGTAGAAGCTCTGAAAGCATCTCGGCATAGACGTGCCTGTTGGCGCGTGGACTCCCAATAAAAGCCCACTGAACTCCTCTATCCGGCACCGAGCCTTCCGTTTCAGCCATTGGAGTCAGTTCAAGCCGACAACCAGAAGACGTGCTATCCTCATCGTAGAGATAGTAATCCGGGTTCCGCTGCGGCTGCGCTGCGACCAAAGTGCTGTATAACCGGCTCATAGAGACACGAAGAAGTTGATAGAGAGCGGGAACCGCCGTTACAGCGGCGGTGGAGACGCTGCCGAGGTGGCTCAGTGCGATCATAGCAGAGAAGAGAGCGTGTGTGCGCGTGTGATTAGTTCGTTGAGAGGAAATGAAGTCGAGGATGGAGGGTTTTGGTCGTTAAGAGGGACAGAGGGAAAGAAAGGGAGGTTTTTTCAAGCTTCTGCTTTTTATTATTTTACGAAATTGCCACTCCTCTTGCTTGCCACGCAATTTTTGCCTTGATACTCATTTCTATTTCTTAATTTATTTTTTTTAAAAAAAGTAAATTACCCAAATATGTATTGAAATAAATTTTGTCCAATCAACCATTCGCTTACTCAGTTCATTTCTCCACAAAATATTGTATGTTTGAGTAAAAATGTGTTTTTGCGTATATTTTTATTTAGAGATTATTTGTTTTATATTATAATTAATGTATGTATATTATTTAATTTATTAATATATTATGTTTCTCTCGTATAGGCAAAATTATAATAACTTCTAGTTATGTCTCTTTAAAAAATATGATAAATAAAGTTCAACATAATTTTTGATTAGTTATTGTGTTTTAATATTAAATTTTTTTTATAACTTTATGATGTATTAACAAGAATGTTAGAATTATTTTAGGTAGAACCATTAAAATTTCATTCAATTAAGTAAGAGATAAACGAACCTACAAAATTAATAGAATAAAAAATACATGAGATTTTAAAATAAAATATTGTTCATTCACGTTGGCAATAGTACTTTTTGCAAGTGTATAAACTACTCTATTACAATCATGCAAAATTCAAAAAATATAAATAGATGTCATAAAGCTACAAAGATAATTAAAATCATCATAAAGCAAACTAATGTATGACACATGAGAAAAAGAGTAGTATAGGAGTTTAATGATCCACTAGGAGTCACCCTCCAATACACATTGGTGATGCATGTGTAAACTATTAGAGAATTTAATATATAAATATAGAATACGATGTTCACATAGTAAGTACGTATAAAACTCGCTTACTTGATTGAAACATTGCAGTATATTCTAAGAATACATGTTAGAGTTACATATCTTTCTTTTTTTTTTTGAATGATGATTATTAATATGATAAGTTATATATATAGGAGTGAAGGGGAGGACTTAGCCCTAGGTTTCTTAATTAGGATACATTTCAAAGGATATGGGATGTCCTATACCACTAATGTAGCACAAATGGGGATTCAGTTGTATGTTAGAATTAAAAACTCAAGATAAATTTTTTTATATATAATTTTAGTTAAGTTACACTATGAATTTATAAGTCAATGATGTTTTATGAAATAGAAGACACGTTTAAACTATTTAAAATAAATTAATCCTTATCTAAAAGTAAATAGTAATTTATTTGAATAAAATATTTATGGTAGAAAAAGAAGTTGTTATGATTTTGAAAAAAAAAATTAATATTACAAATTTATTATTAGTAAAAATAATTAAATAAACTTACTAAACTTATAAAAATTAAGAACAAAATGTTTTTTTAAATACTTTTTTAAAGTAACCTTTAAAATTTTGATAAGACTGTAAAAAAACTGTAAAGGCCGAAGATTTAGTTGAAGGAAAATATTGAATTAATGAAATAATAGCAGAAGTAATTGAAAGTTTAGAATTTACATTTTTTACACAGTAAATTAGTATGCTCAACGGAGATACAGAAATATCCATTTAAAGAAATTTAAATAACATAAATGAAAATGTAACTAAAATCCTATACTGTCAACCTCTGCTGAGCAACTCTGATGGGATGCAGGAAGAAACCTCTAGTCGCTAACTTTTCTTTTGTTCAAGATTCGGATCTTGATTTTCGTGATCTGAAATAGTTAAATAAGAAAGATGAACTACACTATCTTAGTAAGAATGTCAACACTTAACATCGATACGGCAAAACAAAGGTTAGTAAAAAATTATAAAACAACCAATGAAACCATTTTTCTTTTTGAGTAAATTCATTTGATTAAAAAAAAACATAAGTTTCATAATCACCTTTTAAGTTCTCAAATTCGACTTGTGAAGATAATGATCAAGATAACAATTCAGAATACATTCCGAGGGAGCAATAATAATTGTAAAGACCTGAAACTTAAAAAGAAATAAATTCATAAATTAAATACAGAAGAGATTAATAGAGTTAGAGTTTACATTTCTTACATAATAATTTTGAATGCCCAATAGGGCTACAGAAATGTCTCTTCTAAAAGACAAATAAAATTAAAGAAATAAAACAAAAAGTGAATAACTGAGCATCCTAGAACAAC